GCATCTTCAGCACCAAATATGCGTAGTGCGGTACCACCATGAACTTGGCCAGAGCTGGCCGACCGAGTATGGCGTGGTAGGCGGTGTTGAAGTCGGCGACGTAGAAGTTGATGTGTTCGACGCGGTAGTTGCTTGCCGTGCCGAACTGTACTGGTAGGGTGATCTCTCCAAGCGGTTTGGAGGCCCTGCCAGGTACCACACCCCAAAAGGAGTCAGAGGGTGTGAGATCTGATAAATCGATGCCCAGCTCCTTTAGGGCTCCGGCGAAGAGGAGATTCAGAGCACTCCCACCGTCGACGAGCACTTTTCTGAAAAATACCTTCTGGACGGTTACGTCAAGGACGAGGGGGAAACGTCCTGTGTAGGGGATGTCCGCCCACTGGTTGGCCCTGCTGAAGGTGATGGGGACCTCAGACCATGGGCGATAGCTGGGGTTGGCGGCGGCGCCTTCTGCAGTGACAGCGAGCACCCGCCGTGCGGCAAGCTTCTGTTCTCTTCTGCTCTCGGTAGAGGCGAGGCCCCCGAAGATGGTGGCGACGACCTTGTCATGGTCCTGGAAGGCATTGTTATTGCCCTCAGGTGGTTGGCGACCTCCGGCTCCGTCGTTGGTGTCGTCGTCCAGCTTTTTGTCCTGGAACTCCTTAGCCAAATCGAGGCAGTTCTTCATCTTGTGCTTGGCGTTCTTATGGAGAGGGTACGGGCCATCAAGAATCTTCTTGTACTACTCGTCGTAGTTGCGCTTGGCCCGAGGTTCATTGACGGCGGCGACGATGTGGTCTGGCTGACGGCGGCGATTTTGGCCAGACTTGGGCCCTTCTGGCCGATCACGACCGCTATCACGATGGTAACTGCGGTCGTCGAAGCGTCGGTCGTCGTAGCGTCGTGTTGGGCGATGAGTGCCTGCATCCTAGTTGAACCGCACCTCGGCTTCCTCGGCGTCGGCGTACTGGTTGGAGGTCGTGATCATCTCACCAATCCCTGTTGGTGGCTTGTGGTTGAACTTGGAGCGAGGGAAGCTCGCGCTGATGGAGTCCTCGGATGAAGGCGGTGATAACTTCAGCTTCCGTGATGTTGGGAATAGAATTCCTCATCTCGGAAAAGCATCGGATGTAGCTGCGAAGGAGCTCAGACGGCTTCTGGTTGATGCGGTTCAAATCATGCTTGGTGCCCGGCCGAGTACACGTAGCCATGTAATTGTCGGTGAAGACTTTTTTCAGCTCTTCCTAGAATCCAATGGAGTCCAGGGCAAGGCTTGTAAACCAGCTCATGGTGGCTGGTGTGAGCATGACAGGAAGATAGTTCGCCATGACACTGGTGTCTCCTCCGGCAGCGCGGACAACAGTGGCGTAAGCCTATAGCCACTATGTCAGGTTCATCCTTCCTTCGTAGGGCTCGACCCAGTGATTTTGAAACCACGGGGCCATTGAAGTGTTCGGAGCGCCCTTGTGAATGTTGGGGGCCCCTCGGGGTTGTCGGCGCCGTTGTCTGTAGCGTTGCCGTCGGCGAGCGGCTCGAGAGCTGAGTCCGGGTTACCGTACTCTTGATCGTACTCCTGGCGGCGGTGTACTTCGTCTTTATGGCGACCGAAGCGGTGTTTGTCAATGCGTCATCATGCATCTCGAAGATTGTTGAGGTGCACTCGGACATCCTAGTCGACCTCCTGGTCGGGTTGGCGGTGATGTTCAATACGGTTGCCCCTAGCTCCACCCTAGAGGGGTTGCCTGTCGACGCGGTGCTAGTCGGTGAAGCGACTTGGGCGGCGATCGGATCTTGTGGCGACTGATCGGCGAATCGAAGTTGTGGAGTATGAAGGTCTCTGCTCCTGGCGGATCTCATTGACCTAATAATGCGCCGCTTTAAGCATTGCGGCCACCTTGGCGACCTCCGGTGTCTGCGGGAGCCGGGCGAGCTCATTGGCAGCCACGGCCAGGTTGGCGCTTGGAGTCTTGTAGACGTCATGGCCGTCAACGCGGAGAAACTCGTCGTCGAGGTTGCGCTGGAGTGGCCTTCCTTGCGAGTCAAGCTACTGCTCGGCCATCGCAAGGGCATTCTCGTTTGCTCAGCGTTGTGAGCGGTTGACGTTCCGATTCTCACGAGCGGTGCGTTCCTCCTAGGTCTTGCCGTTCCGAGGGGGGCTGTCGACGCTGACGTTGAAGATCGCGCCACCCGGAATGGAGGGAGAGGAAGTTGCTCGATGAAGGTTTCGGCGAGGGTCTCCATAGAGCCCTAGGACTCAGAGCCTAGATTCTCCTCTGGGATGGTCTGGAGGGACGCTTTGGAGCGTCGGCCGACATAGAGCATGTTGACGCCCGACGGAGGTTGGTCGGCGAGAGGATGGACATCTCCCACCTGGTCGGCGAATTTACCCCTTAGGGCGTCTTGGAAGGTGGCGGTGACGTTGATGTTGAAGGGTAGAGCTGCAACTTCTGGAGTTTTCCGAGCAGCCTCCGGTAGATCTGGATCGATGGGTGGTCGGCGCTGGACCAAAGTGTCCAGAGCCGATTCGGTGATGGAGAGGCAATCGGCGAGCTTTAGACCAAACCGATCGATAGATGCGATCCGATCGTCATTGTTAATCTGCCTCCTCTGGTAGCGAGGAAGTGAGCGGCGAGTCGTCGATGAAGGCGACCTCAGAGGCGGTTTCGAGATCGGATCTGCTATCGCAGGTGCGGGGGTGATCGGCGCAGAATTGATCTGCACCGGCTCGAGGAACTCTTTGACTCCGTCAGCGTTGATGATCCATGAGATCAATCCGACCGTGAAGATCTAGCCGGGCTACGGGAGGGACGAAGAGCCTACGGAAGAAGTCATCTTGTTCGACAAGGAAACAACACGCACTCCCCCACCTAGCGCGCCAACTGTCGACAGAATATCGTCGGCAGTCCTCCGAGGGGTATCCCACGAAGGTAGATTGATCGACAGAGAAGCGTGTGATCAAGAACAAGAAGGCAACAGAGACACACGAGTTAGACAGGTTCAGGCCGTCAGTATGACGTAATACCCTACTCCTGTGGTCTGTTGGTTTGTATTAGCTATCGTATGATATTGCGTGAGTTTGGAGGTGGTCCCTGCCTGCCTTATATAGTTCGGGGAGTAGGGTTACAAGTCGATTAGATCTGAGAGATAACCGAAAAGTAATAACTGATTACAGGAATTTTAGGTTCATACATATCCTAACAGATCTCGTAGTATCTTCAGGATATCTTCTAGATGTCTTGCGGGAGGCGCCGAGTAGAGTCGTGTCCTGTAAGGCTTCGTCTTGTGGGCTGGACTGCCCCTGGGGGCATAGCCCATGTGGTCTGCCGTGAATATGCGGGGTCGTAGCTCCCACAATCATACATCATACATTTAGCACACATGACTGTATGGCACTCGAGAATTTTATCATTAAGTCGATGTTAGTTGGAAGTTGTACAATAATATATCAATAGGATAAAGTGGCTCTTAACACGGGCATCGAAGATAATCTGTATGCATAGTTAATTGTAGAATATATCAAGGATTTGGCCCGGCGCTTAGTCTTAGGCATACTCCCTCCGTCCCAAAATAGTTCAACATCTCGCATTTTGAGGAGTTTAACATTTTAACTTTAACCAATATATATAAAAAAAATTAATGTTTGTGATACTAGTAGTAATGTATCATTAGCTTAATTACGTCATATATTTTTATAGTAAAACTATTTAGGGATATAAATATTGATAGTATTTTCGTTAAACTTAGCCCTTGTTTAGTTGGGTGGATTTGGATTTTGGGGCTACTGTAGCACGTTCGTTTTTATTTGGCAAATAGTGTTCAAACATGGACTAATTAGGCTCAAAACGTTCGTCTTGCAATTTCCCACCAAACTGTGCAATTAGTTTTTATTTTCGTCTACATTTAATGCTCCATGCACGGGCCGCAAACATTCGATGTGACAGGTACTGTAGCAACTTTTTGGACTTTGGGGTCCAACTAAATAAAACGTTAGTCAAAGTTAATAAGGTTGGTTGACTCCTCGGAATGTGAGATGGAGACTTATTTTGGAACATATGGAGTATGTTTTAGTGAATGGCATAGTCGTATAAATATAGATAGAGGCCACGTCTCCTTGTGCTTAGTATTATATATATATATATATATATATATATATATATATATATATATATTTACATTGAACAACATCCATGTAAATAGGCAGTCCCTGAGCAGTTTCATTAGCTTTAGTCTCATCCCATAATGTTCAAATAAACAAACACTACCATTTTAAGTGTTCAAATTCAATATTAAAATTATATTAGGAGAATATAGACAATCCGTGATTTTTTTTTTCATACAAAAGAGACTAGAACAGAAGTTCTGTGATAATACAACGAGAACAACACTACTCCGTGGGTAACAAAAGAAGCTAAAATAAAGCGATGAAATAAGTACAACAAAGCCTGTGGTCACTGAGTTTCTTAGGGTACCTGTAGTGAATATATTTCAGCTCAAAACCGACCTACTCCTGACGGCCGGACTCAGACTTGCAAACTCCTTGGGAGTTGGGAGCACAAGAAAAGAAATGCTTGTGGTCAAAACTCAAAACCGACCTACTCGCAGCTGCTTGGGAGTCTAACATGAAAAATGTTCCTAGTCAAAACCGATCAATTTTATCTATCTATATCTATATCTATACTATAAAAGAGCGAAGGAGTTGAGAATAGCTTTTCACCTAAATTTTTTTACCCACCTCATATTACGACCACAGGATTTATTTTGTCTTTAGATCTAACAGTGCACGATCAATATAACGGTGCAGCCGTTAAAGTCTTGCGCATAGGCGTAAGATGTTACGCGTTCCTGCCCTTTAGAACGACGGGCGACGCCTCATTCGCATTTTTTTTTCACCCATCCGCCGCATACCCGCCCACGCTACCCACCACCGGTAATGTCGTCTTGTTTCCTTTTTTTTAACCCGCTTCGATCCGTGGTGCGCAGCCTGCTCCCTTCGATCTTCGCCGCTGTCGCCGCCACCGCCGATGTCGGCTTCACCTGTTCACCTGCAGCTCCGGGCCTCCACCACGGCCGCTGACGACGTCCGTACCAGGACTCTCGGCCCCTGCCAACGCTGCAGATGTTCTCCATCTCATCCCTCGTTGCCTTCTGTTGGAGATCCAATCCGCGCCGGCTCCACTCCCTCCCGTACGGCGCCTCCTCCGCTCCTACCCGCACGGCGCTCTCCCACTCCCACGCCCACGCTCCACCGACCCGAAGACGTGCGCGTAATAGTCGAATTCTCCTCTCGGCTTGCTCGCGCAGTGTCGGAGGGCGTTCAAGAGCGTGAGAGTGGAGAAGCTAAAGGCTACAATGCTTTGGTAATCTCTGCCTACCTCTCGAGCGAGAGTGAGACGCGGCTTGATGACAGGACGATTCATCATCTTGTCGCAGTCATTGGCAATTTGGCAGTCTGCAATGCATTGTTTCCTCATATGAACTTCAGATGCTGAATTGTGCTTAACTTTTTTTCACCGTATGTTGGGTTGTGTTTAGCAATTTGAAGTCCAAATGGACTCAAGACAGATCCTTGATGAGATTGGTGGTTGTTCATTGCTTGAAACTCTGTAAGTAGGTTTCAGTTTTGCTTATGTCATTTTATTTTTCAAAAAATGCTTTAGTTCAGTTATTCGTTGGCTTGTTGATGCCAGGATCTCAGAATGTTGTTTCATGGACTGCTATGATCAATGGGTGCATTCAGAACGGTGACACACCTCTTGCTGCTCCTATTTTTAGCAGAATGAGAGAAGATGGTGTTGCTCTGAATGATTTCACCTACTCGACAATTCTGACAGCATCAGTGGCCAGCATGCCCGGCTCTTGATTAGCTGGAACTGAGAGGTGAAATTTTCATTGTTCAGTTCTCTTTTTTTGCATTATTTGATACTTCATGGTTCATGGCAGATTTTTTTAATGTAAGCTGTATAAGTTGTGACCAGAGGGGAGCTTATGTGAAGAAGGATGGGGAAAAATATCAGAAATATAGGAGGCCTCCAGCAGCAGAGCAAATGTTACTTTAGGATATGTAAATTGGATTGATTCGACTGCCTTGCCGCTAGGTAAGATCTGCATCACTTGGTAAATATCAGAAATATAGGAGGCCTCTAGCAGCAGAGCAAGTTTTACTGTAGGATATACAAATTGGTTTGATTCGGCTGCCTTGCTGCTAGGTAAAATCTGCATCACTTGGTTTATTTCACATCCAGCGCGTCCACGCCACCGCGGTCTCCGACAAGCCCAAGCTCAACAAGTACAGCGCGCGCATCACGGAGCCCAAGTCGCAGGGCGCCTCGCAGGCCGTGCTCTGTGAGGTCGGCCTCACCGACGTGGACCTCCGCAAGCTGCAGGGCGGCGTCTCCTTGGTGTGGTATGAGGGGAACACCTGTAACATGCACCTGCTCCACCTCGCCGAGACCGTCCACGATGGCGTGCGCGAGGCCGGCATGGTCGGCTTCCGATTCAACACCGACGGTGTCAGCGACGCCATCTCCATGGGCACCCGGGGCATGTGCTACAGCCTCCAGTCCCACGACCTCGTCGCCGACAGCATCGAGACCGTCATGGGCGCGCAACACTACGACGCCAACATCTCCATACCTGGGTGCGACAAAAACGTGAGTTCCTTCCCGCTGTCTCTGCTGTTGCAGATATAATGGATTGGGTGTTCTGAAATGTGTTCATGCACCAGTTAGTTCAATGGGACTGGGAGTGGAGTCAAAGGTTGCTACCCTCATAATTTGCACATAAAAGCCCTGAATTATTACATGATGTGTCACCGATTTTACCAGCAACAGATACTGGCATCGCTAAAACTTTTAAGGTAGTGAGTAATCTATTAGTTTTTCTTTGATTAACTTGGTTGTATGTTCCAGTTACAACACTGCCACCATCATGCTTCAGATTAGGAGTTCGTCCATCTAATCTCCATGAGCTATTCTCTCCTTACATAACTGAAGCTTTACAACAGTCAATAATAATGATTGAAGAGACATATGACAATTCTTATTTTGTGTTTTATGATTCAAATCCCACATGTGGTGATTCATTTGTAATGCAATAGTTTCATATGCCAGGCTTTGTTTCTAGCAAGGCCCTACTTCATGGTGTGGAGGTATGCAAATTGCTCTGCTCTTTCCTACGATTCTTCACCTGATAAATACTTTTGCTTTGGTGTTCCTGTAGGTCGCAAAGGATGCTGGGTTTGAGCTACCGCCACCAGCCGAGTATGCTGTTGGAATGATTTTTATGTTGTCGTGAGAAGGGCAAAGCTGAGTTTAAGAAGGTTGGTGTAACACTGCTAATAAATTTGGTAGCCTATGAGCAATGCAGGATTTGCATGTTAAGCTCATTTCTCTAATTAATAATCTTGTCCTCGCAGGTAGCTGAATCACTGGTACATGTAGTACTCGGTTCCGACTGACAACTCAGACTTGGGTGAATCTGCACTTGAGACTGAGCCAGTCATTGGGCAGGTTTTCGTTACCAAGAGTTCAAGATCAGAGGCTGAGTTTGAGCAACAGGTAATTCCATACCATTAGATGTAATTGCACATCAGCACATGTGATGGATTTTGCTTTAACATTTTTTCATGAATTGTCGCAGCTATATATCCTTAGGAGACCCTCAAACATCTCCGTTCGAGCTGCTCTGAACTTAAGCGTGGAGGTGAGAAGGATTTCTACACGTGCTCTCTATCTTTAAGGTGCTTCCCTTATTTGACTAGAAAAAAAATGTTTATGCTTTGATTTCATTAGGTTTCAGGGCTGAAAAGGATCAGTAGCTTATTTCTTGGCCGGCGTGCATGTACGTGCTGTACGCTTGCTGTGTATGTACCACACATGTACTTGCATAGCCATGTTTTGATTAATCCATGTGTATGCATGCGTGCATTTGTTACGTGTGACTGTCACATAGAGCGTGCCCCTTTTTGATATGCTTAGCGGATCAAAATTATATTCAGCTAATGTAAGCCGCCAATACATGGGTCCCACCAATCCAGCTAGGACCTGGCTGTGACGATTACATTCAATCACTTTTGTCATGAGCTATTATCACAAACATTGAGAAGTGCACATGATGACGGTTGTTTATGACTAAAGCATAACTTAGTCACAAACGCTTGTCATCCATGAAAAATTGTCATAAACGCATCGTTTCTATGACTAAAAAGTACTTTGTTATATAAAAATTGTCATAGAAGGCCCAATCTCTTGTAGTGTTCGGTGGTGCCTTCTGATTCACAAGATATTATTAGATGGAAACCAGCTAAAAAAGGCATATGCACCACCAAAGAAACTTTTCTTTATCTTAGTAAACAATTGCAGGTTCAGATCAACAATCAGGGAAGCAGAAGTATCACTCAAGAAGCTCTACAAATCCTTAATAGAGTTTGGAGGCACAAAACACTCTCACCTTGTATAAAGGCTTTCACTTGGAGGCTCATGAGAAGGGCTTTGGCAACCGGCGCTAGAGCAGGAGCTTATACTGCTAAAATCAGCTAGGAATGTGCTACTTGCAATTTATTAGAAAATGACTCTCATCTTTTCTTTCACTGCACTTTTGCTAGAGCTGTCTGGTTCTCTGCCTCTCCACCATTAATAACATCATCCCTACCACATGAACAAGATGGAGTGAATTCACTAATCACTTCTAATACTACTGATGATGAGCTTCAAATTGTCTTAACAACTCTTTGGTACATTTGGAAAGCGAGAAATGATACTCGCTTCAACAATAAAAGATAGTATGTCTTGCAGATACACTTTGTGGTAGCAACGGATATAAAAGATTTCAAGATTTGCAGGAGACAAAGAAGATGTTCACATTCAGAACGAAAATGAAGGATCCCATAATCAATTGCAGGACAACCCAAACTCACAGTCAACCAGAGTTGGCGCCCATCCGATTCTTCCATTTTCTTTGCAGGAAACTCAAGGATTGACAAGTCATGGAAATGCCACAAGGTTTCAAAGGAATCAACCAAGAGTTCAAGGAAACCAAACAAATATGGATGCTTGTTTTCAGCAAGAAGGTATAGAAATTTTCATTTGCAACGAGAAGCCACTGCCAAAGTGAGTCGGCTTGGATGATTAATTTACCAGGGCCACCTAATTATAACATCTCCATGCCAGCAAAATTACCTGGTAGCAGATGTTACACTGATGCTTCAATTTGTCCAGATACTTCTCCGCAGGTTCCAAGACGAGCAGGAACATGCATCTTTATTGTCACCTCTTATGCAGGCATAATATCAACCATTTATGTGAAGGCGATTTGTCAAGAATGTAACTCCGTCTTGATGGCTGAAGCAACAACTTTAGCTCTTGGCGCAAAGATTTTGAATGCTATGCAGGGGCCACAACCCTTCTTCCTATCTCATAACCAACAGCTGGTCAACTTCCTCAATGGAAAAAATCATTCAAACCCTCCGATTTGGGAGATTAAACCCTACACTCAGAGCTTCGTGAACATCTTATCAGCTAATGGAGGAAAAATCTTCAAGATTGATAGAAAGCAAAATATCACTGCTCATGTCCTAGCTAATCAGACCTACAATTGTAACATCACTCAAATTCATGATCATAGAGCTACGTGTACAAATCGTAGGCATTCAGGTAGCTATCCATCTTTGACAGCTATAAACTCTGTAATGGGTGCTCTTTCACCCTCATAGCAGCTTCTTGACGTTAATCAATAAAATTTGTCCATTTATCAAAAAAAAAAAAAACACCCTCCAAACTGTGTGCTTCGGCCTTTTGTCAGTTGAAGCTATCGCAGCCTCTGCAGGATCCTCAAGCGATCTGCGAAGCCTACACCCGTGATGATTTGGATAGCAAAGGCTGACACGGAGGATAGGGCTACTGTACACGCTGTAGCGTTTGGGGTGTCCTTTAGCAGCAGGCAACAGGAAAAGCGACGGCTGAAAGAGAAGGCGAACAGAAAAAAAAAACGCCAAAAGTTAGAACCGACCCGACCCGTACCCTTTTATCTTCCACGTCAGCTCGCGCTTGCGTCGCTACAACGCCTCGCATCGCCCAATCACACGACGCGAAGCAGAGCACCTGCAGCCACAGAACCTCCCTGCCGCGCGGGCCCCGCCTGTCAGAAAAGCGATAACCCCCAATCACACGATGCGGCCATGACTCGGCGCCGCGGATAGGGATGGGGCGCCTGCGAATTTTCTGTAATAAATAAAAATCCTACTCCGTCCCATCCCTCGTCCTATACGGGCAACGACGGCCCTAGCGCCGGTGGCCACGACCAGGTACCGTCCCAACGCCCACCCACTCCGACCCATGCCGTTCCCGTTCCCGTTCCCGTTCCCGTTCCCGTCCATCACTGGCATGTGGGCTCACGTACTGCAGCTTCCTTTTGGCCACTGGGCCAACCGGGGTGTACTATAAAGACCTGTCCCACGCGCCAATCCCCTCCCTCTTCTGTTAGCTGTTAGCCTGTTATTACCCTATTTGTTCTCTCTTCTCCGTCTCGCCTCGCGTCCTGTTCCAGTCCGCCACGTCTCCTCTGATCCTCTGATCCTCTCCTCGCCTGCGCGCTTCTGATCGATCGACCGCGAGTCAAAGGGCGAGGACCCCTGCACCGAGCGAGCGAAGAAAGCATGACGGGTACCGGCGGCGGCGTAGGAGGCGGCGAGCACTACTCGCGGCAGGTCCGCGAGCTCTGCGCGCTGCTCCTCACCATCGTCTACCCCGCGCCACCGGGGCGGGCGTCGGTGTCGATGTCCCCGGCCGCGGCGGCGTCCATGCTCCTCGGCGCGTCGGTGGCGCTCATGCTCTGCGGCTCCGTCACCTTCGCCATCGGCTTCTTCCTCATGCCCTGGGTCGCCGGCCTCGCGCTCCTCTTCGGCTTCGCCGGCGCCGTCAACACCCTCTCCTCGGGGCTCGTCCTCTGCACGAAGCAACCCTCCACCGCCGCGGCGGTGCCCTGCAAGCACCCGCGGGGACGGATCATCGGGCCCCCGGCCCCAACCCCAGTGATCGGCTCCGACGCGCTCGTCGCCTAGCTTTGCTTGCTCCGGCCGGCGTGCCTCGATTTTGCTTGATTTCTCTTCGTGGATCGCCACTAGGATTCCCTGTAAAAACACGCCTTTTTGCTGTACGTACGCTTGTAGTCGTATGATCCGGAGGAGAGCAGGTGTTGTTGCTTGCTGGTTAATGGGAGGAACGGAACGTCACAAGAAATTAATTAAGTGATTGTTTACCCCTCATGTTGGCAATTCCATTCTGATTCGCCCGCCCAAAGAATTGTTTTAAATTTCCCACCTTGTTCTTGTTCTTGTTCTTGATATTGATGATAAGTCTCTCCTACTAGGCGTGACACGTATTATTGGGTGTTTTAATATCTGCTACTGCGTTGTTTTTCCCCCCCTGCTACTGCTTTGTTGGTCAGTAGGAGCACGAAACTTTGGTAACGTGTTCGCTACGGAGCACAGTGCAAGTTCGCTACCGGTGGAACGCGATGGCTGTCCACCCGCGTGTGTGGGGAGAGAGACGTGTACAGGCCTGTTGTACCGTGGGGAGTGGGGACGGACAGACACGTACCGGACAGTGATGTGAGTGTTTTGAGCGTGTTCTTCAGCTGTGACAGAGAAGTAACCAAACATGTGGCCCACGAGGTGTCGGTTACGTGTAAAAGTGGAGGGGGGGAGGCGTCGGTTCTCTGTACCTAGACTCTTCTAGAACCTTCTGAAACCTCCATATTGTACTGTGATTTTGAGTTGTGAGATCTACTCGAGTTGAGGTTCGTGACAAGGACTTTCTTTGGAATACAGATTTTTTTTTTTTTTCTGTTTCTATATTTCCAGTAAAAAATAATTCGATTCGTGTGAAATCTCTGTGTATATATAAAAAAGGAAGTTCTAAATCAGTGGAGAATCCTAACGCTACCACTTGTCGGAGCCGACAATCCGTCGCTGTAGGAGCCTAGCACAAGCAAGAAGCGATGTTTGATTTGGGAAGCGCGTCCCCGATAGTGCAATCTGATTGGATTGTTTTTCACTTGCATCCATTAATTGACTAGTAGTAGTATTTTTCTGCATTATCCATTGCTTGTTGCAGTTGCAGGGCCACACCATTTGTACGCAGTCAGAAGATTCGGCTTCGGAAGCAGGTCATTGCTCCCACCTGCAGCGTCCTCTGTTTCAGAACAAACAAGCACTACTCCTACCATTTATCTGGCGTCTCCGGTATCGATCGATTGGGCGTCCAGTACCTGATGCTGTGATGCAAGAATGACAAGCAAGGTGATCCATGTGGTCACGTATTCTTCTCTGATTCTCTCCGATCTGCAAATACCGGCATCTGCACGATTGCGTTGCTTTGCGGTCTGTTCAGCTGCAGGCTTCAGATTGCAAGAGACTGTCTCAGTCTGCCGGGTAGCATCGCATCTCATCTGTTAAAGGCTTAAAGCTGTAATAAATCGCAATTCGCAAGCAAGTAAAACACAGGTAGAGGAAAAAGGCCCAAAAAAAAAACGCGTTGCCTTTCAGCCTTTAACCCTGTGTTTTTTCTTGCTAACCTTGCTGGCCATTGCTGCTTTTAAATTTGGCTGGAACCCTCATCGCAAAGGAGAACACCTCACCTATCTTGAGTAGTCTTTATTCAGAGCTTCAGACTGTAAAGCGAAAGGCCCTGCCTGCTGCCTGCAGCCTTCCTTTGCACACGCAGAGCGTCGCAAAGGAGAACCTCTTGCTTGCTTCGTGCACACGCAGGGCATGCATTCCTTCCCTCCTTTCCTTACCTAGCCACTTCCCTACCTTCCACACTACATACAATGCTGAGCAACCTCACTACATATTGCCCTTCCCCATCGATCGTTCTAGCTAACTTCCTGCTGCGTCCGTCATGAACTACGCGGGCATGAACTACGCGGACAGAGGAGGCATGAACGCCGCGGGCAGCAGCAGCATGTCGCCACGCCCGGGCACGGACTGGGGCCCCATCATCGTGGCGGTGATCCTCTTCGTGGTGCTCTCGCCGGGCCTGCTGTTCCAGCTCCCCTCGCGGACGCGGGTCGTCGAGTTCGGCAACATGGCCACCAGTGCCATCGCCATCCTCGTCCACGCCGTCATCTTCTTCTGCCTCCTCGCCATCTTCGTCGTCGCCATCGGCATCCACGTCTACGCCGCGTAGGTGTAGCCCAGCCATGCTAGGCTCCATTTTCTGCGGCCTGCTTCACTTCACTTCACACAATGGTGGTGCGCGCTTCTCGTACGTCCAGTCTCTTTGTAACTTGCTGGTCTTTTGAGTATGTAGACTAGAGATGGCGCAAGATTTAGCTGCTCTCATCTGCTATGTTTGTGTATTGCCCGGTGTTGGACAGAGCGTTGGCTTGGCAATCCGGTGTTAGTGACATTTCTCGCTTACTTTCTGTGGAAATTGAAATAGTATTTCTCAGGTGTTGCTCGTGCATGGTACTAGCTATTACTGTCACTGAATCCATGTGTTGCCAGCAGTTAACATCAATATAACCCACGAGCTGTCTAGTTATTTCAGAGGAGAGTAGGATTTTCCTAAATGCCAGGTCATATATTGATTGAACCAGCACAGAGAGTGACTGCTGAACCCGTTGCTCTGGACCTGTTTTAATTTGCATCAGTTTCACGTGTCCTTTTTTCTCAGTTGCAAATTGACAAGGTTGCAACCAGATCAAGGCAGTTTCCGTTTGTTGGCAGCGATACGCTGAAACAAATTAATGGTACTTACTAGCCCTATCAGCTCACACAAGAGCTGGGCATCAACAGCAAGTAGTATTCCTATCTTCGTAGTAGAGCAACACACGTGTTTTTTTAAGAAAAAGGCGACCTAAGTCTTTCCCTCCTTTGAACACTCGATTTCTTGGCTCCGCTTGCTATAGCTTACAGCGTCTGCGGCTGCAACACCCCTGCTAGCCTGTCCTGTAGCATTTTAAGGGATTGTTTGGTACCTTTGCTGAATATTGTGTAACCTTGCCTAAATAAGGATTTTGAGCAGTTAGCTTGTTTAGTTGGCTGGCAAACACACCTTGATTTTGTGCTGTCTAAGAGTTGGCTCTCCTAGATGAGTAAGGCGTGCTTGGTTTCTTTACCATCATTGCCCCAACCTGGCTCACCTTATGCTCAACCTTGTGAGTGCCAAGCTAGGCGAGTCGTTTTGGCTCTCCAGTGCTAGCAAGAAAAACCTTACCCAGTGTCGATGGGGAACCCTACGGGCCCTCCATGGACCATACTGCAGGGAGGTAGACCTTGGTAACAAGCCTACAGCCCAATCGCCAAGAAAACGCGGAGCAAAGCAACGTGCAAAACCGAAACTCCAACGCAAACTATACAAGAAAAGGCGCCTGAAGCGTAGCTTAGGACTCTGACCTTGTATCCGAATAGGACACAAACAACGCCTCTCAGCGCCTGGACTATAAAGGGCTGGTGAGGGTACCCATTGTGAGGAGAACGCATACCCGATACTCAAAGCAATACAACGCAAACATGCTAACGCCAAAACTGGACGTAAGGTTATTACTCGACCAAGTCGAGGGCTGAACCAAGATAAATCGTGAGTCTCTTTGCGTAATCGCCGAACTCCGCTATTATTCGAAGCGAAGAACAAACAATCGGGGCCCCGTGGCGGCAAAGCTATCGGTGGTAAAACATCGACGGTGGCGCGCGCTGTAGGGGCTTTCGGACGAATTTTTTCTTGAGAGTTCGGCGGACCTCAACCTCAAGATGACCTTTTCGCCGAACAACCTTTGTCTTCGGATCCCGGATCCGCAAGGACGGCGACGACGACAAGCTTCGTACCCGTCTCCGAGAAGAAAAAGAATTCGATGACGAAGTTCAATACAAACTCGCTGAGAAGATGACGAAACTCTCAACTTTGGATACAACTCGGAATAAGGAAGAAAGCGGATACGAAACCGACTCTGAAAAAGAGATACAACACGATCCCAAGACAATCTTCACGGCACAAGAGCCAAGCCTAATTGGACTCGAAGACACAACAACGATCGTGAAGGGATACGACCCGTACAACTCAAAGAAGAACTTGGGAACTTACGGACTACGCAACGCGGCATCAGTCTATCAACACTTTACCCAAAACAAGATGAACTCAGCAAGAAGAATACTTCTGGAGGGAGCACAAGAAGGGATGATCATGACAGTGACCCCACAAGATTGTGTGGTGCATTGGCCAGGTTCTTTCACCTCAAGCAAAGCCCAGACTGGCACGCGCATTGAAGAACTACCTTATCAAGAGGGAAAAAAACTCGGATCCAGTTCAGAAGCTACAAACAGCTCAACCAAACGAAGGATGGAATACCGTACAAGAAGAGCTCGGAAGAGGTATATTGTATACATGGCAGAGCTGTTAGAACAACCTTTGGAACCACCACAGATACCAGATATAAAATCTTCAGACGAATCAGAAGGCAACATCTCGCCAGATGAGAAAAGCGACAGCAACGAAAATGATGAGCAAAGACTAGCAAGGCTAAAGAAGAACAAATTGAAAGCTGGAAGGAGGAACCGGGCTAAACAAAGGAAGCAAGTCTGGAATAAATACAAAGCGGAGCTAACAGAATACAACAGAAAGAAGGCGGAAAAAGAAGCCAAAAAAATACAAAAAGGGAAAGAATTGAAGAATTAACAAAGGAGTTGTACACCCTCACGAATAACGGGAAAGCAAAGGAAGACCAGAAGAAAGAAGTCGGGGGATCAGAAAAACAACCCGACGAAGAAATTCCACAGGAGCCACAAAGGGTGCAGCCACCCAAAAAATCGAATTTTCAAAGGATAGGACCAGTAGAAAGTGCTGATATCAATGGAAGGAAGGAACACTACTCAAAGCAACAAGAAAGAGACAAACCAGAATTGAGCCAACGCTACCAAGAAATATCAAGAAGATTTGACAAAGAAGATGACTACGGAGAGTCTGAGTTAAAAGAAGACAGGTCTTATTACAGAAGGGCAAGATCACCAGATTACGGAAGAACGGAACCATACGACAGATTCCCTTGTTTCGCAGGAAGACT